ATATAGATGAGGCTGCAGAATTTACTGGGATAAACAATGATGTGTAACTCAGGTTGCAGTAGATGTTGGTATATATGTGTTTGTTTTTAGATGGATATTAAGATCCAAAAATTGACATTGGGTGTTACTTGCCTGGTCTAACTTGCAGCATATGAATGATAATCCATATGAACTCTGGTGAGTTCATATGGATTATCATTCATATGCTGCAAGCAGTTATTAATTCCAGGCTTGTCCTTTCAGATAATCAACATATCATCTACGCATCTTTTATATGTGGTTATCTTCAAAAGAAATTAACTTTAAAACATTCTTCTCTAAAAGGCATACTACCATTTTGCAAAGGTCACCCAAAAGGTGGCTTTCCAAGGAACTCTTATCTTTTGTACATAAGTGTTGTTAAACCAGAAAAAAGAGGAGTAACACAATAAATGTACCAGTTCTAGGACCTGCTGGTGGTATATAGGATCTCTATACTTCTATAACAACCAATCTTGGAGAACACAGAAGAATGGTTGTAGTTTGATACAAGGGTATAAAGCAGTGTTTCTCAAACTTTCTCAACCTGTAATGAATCATCGCCCCCTTCAATAAAACTGTTATATAGTATCGCCCCATTCACTTCAAAATTCCATGAGCATTGGAATTTTGAAGTGAAGGGGTCTACTACGTAACGGTTACTACTACGTAACATTATACTAGTCACTAGTCTATTCAATGCAGTACAAGGCTAACGCCAAATCTGTACTGCATTGAATAGACTAGTGACTACCGTGTTTCCCCAAAAATAAGACCTCCCCCTGAAAGTAAGACCTAGCGAAGTTTTTTTTTAGTAGTAACGGTCATTGACAGATGGTTGAAAGTGGTCGTTGGCTTTTTGAAAGTACAGCCACTGATTGGTCAGCAGACAATTACGCCACACGGTATGATTTGCATAAGACTATGGCTTGGTAATCACAGATTTGCATAACATTACGGCTGGTGATGGCTAATTGGTCGGCCGGGAATCATGCCACATGACATTTGCATAGTGCTACGGTTCAGTAAGCACTAACTGGTCATCGAGTTCGATGTTGACGCTATAAAAAGGCGACAGTTCGACACACCGGATATACGTCACTCTCGTCTAAGTTCGACTTGGGCATTTTTTTGTTNCCCCCTTCACTTCAAAATTCCAATGCCGAGGGCCAAGGCTAACGTTAAATTCGTACTGCATTGAATAGACTAGTGACTAGTATAATGTTATTTGTTTAATTATTGTACGATATAACAAATAAAATATCTAATTATTCTTAATATAATGTTTTACTATATTGCCCAGAAAATTGTTTTTTGCTCCCCCAAAATATAAATTGTTACTAATCGCCCCCTCAACATGGAAAAACGCCCACATGGGGGCGATGTAGCCCCTGTTGAGAAACACTAGTATAAAGCAACAAAGTCAAAAACCATTATATGAGCATTACTAGTTATATGGATATGTTTGAATGCTTTGACCAGCTCTGTAGACTTACTCACCATGTATTTATAATTTTTTAAATGAATGGCAAGCATATTGTATATTGAATTTTCTAACAAGCAAGTAGAGTATGTATCTTGATTTGTCAACCACAAATCTCAAGTCAAATCCCGGTTTATCTATTTTAACAAAAGCAAACAATCTTGGGGTATCTGGGATGAGACCATAGCCCTGCCAAATTTAATCTATTAGCAAGAGCAGTCTGTGTAAATCTGACAACTCTTGTCTGTAGCTTATCAACACATCCTTCTTCAACTGGATCACTTTCTGTGTCAATGATGTGTTTGTCCATCAGTGTGTTCTGGTATTTCTAAAAAAGCATACTTATAACACAAACATCTGTATGCAGTGTCAAACAATAAAACTACAAAAATGATAGCTTTTTTATAAATTTGAAAAGTTACCTTAATTATCATATTATCAATGCCTTGTAGATATAATGTTGTCAAAGACTCATGAATATCCTTGCCAAAACAAACTGTTGGATTATTAACTGGATTACAATAAGGTTAATTTAATGATTAGATGTAAAGCAATTTGGATACAGGTAGGCAGTTAGATCACAATCTAATTTTATAATTAAAAATGGGATTTATTTAAAATTATTAAATTTATAATTAGATTCCTAAGGCCTCACTTCAGATATCCTCTAGAATACTAATTTTAAAACAGTAAGATTCTAGGAACACAGTTTAAATTCACATTAAAGAATAATTACATTGTGTAAAGTAATCATATAACAAAATAATATTAATACAGTTGAACTTCCAAAAATGGTCATCTCAAAATTGAAGCCATTTTCTCATGAACATTTCTTTTCAAATAAAACACATACAAAATAATTTCCAAACAATCCCTCCTAACAACAGCCGTTCTGTTTGTTTGTTAGTTAACGGCAAAAGATGTCACAATACATTTTGACATCTTTTGCTGTTGTTTTCGTTTTCATATTTTACATTAAGTATTAAATTAATTAAAAAACCTACTAATGTGAGGTGGGAATAAGGACATATCACACCAGTGATAATAAGCACAAACATCCAGATATCAATGGAATACATTTAATAAAACGAGAATGGGTGTACATTAAAATCGATTAAACTAAGAATTAACATGAAATAACCAAAATGCATTTCGGACTATCGAAATAGTACCTCTTCAGTTGGTATACATATATAAAAAAGGTGAGATACTTAGAATTATACAAGAAAAAAGAACCGTTATAAAGGTATGATCATTGAGCAATAAATGGGTGTAGAGGAGACAGGCTTAAGATGGCTTCATTATGTTACCTTCCTCACATCATAAAAACAACTTTAGTTCCCTCTTGAAAAGATAAAGATAATATAAGTTTCAAATTTTGTTACAATTTTTTTTATTTTAAATTTTTATCAAATTTTGCAAATCGGTCAATACTACAGGATGCAATTTTGGAAAGCCATATCTCATGAAAGATTACACTTGGAACAAGAGTTTCTTTTGGTTTTTCTTTATTCATATAAGAATGGTTGTAGGGTTGTACAAATTTACAACAACTCTAGAAGGATACCACTAGGATCTGATCTGACAGAGGATAAGATCTTGTCTAAATGTCAATGACATAACCCATTTTATACAAAATAGACCACTGATCTTTAAAATAACACCTTTAATACCTTAATTCTCCAGTATAAAACAATAATAAAACTGATAAACATTTTTGATCTAATACTAAGATCTTTATCAAGTCAAGATTCTTGGTAGAAAAAGACAGACTATTGATGGCGAATCTTTTTCTAGAAGGTGGATCAAAACTGAATTTAAAATTTACTAACTTCAAATCACATGTCAAATATTTAATGAGTTATTGAAAGCATATCCAAAAATATTTACGAATTTTACTTTAATTTTTTTTAATCTATACTAGAAAGATAACAATAAATTGATTATACAGAAGATAAAAAAAACTAACACAAGTAAAGTGTAACTATATAATACTACACACAACAATTAACACCTCAATACTAATTCCAGCACTCAAAAAATTATGCTGATCTAACGCTTTCGGCCATCTTTTAGAGGCCCTCCTCAGGATGAAACACAACGAAACAGTTCTATCTTTATACAGATTATACAGAACACAAACATTCTGTTTAACAGAAAATCTGCTGCTAGCTTCTTGATAAAAAGTACCGAGTTCAGCATTAAGTATTAACGCTGAACTCAGTGCTTTTTATCAAGAAGCTATACAATTTTGGCGTGAGTTTTATTTATTTATCTATTTCTAATCTGCTGCTATTTATTTGATATAATTTTTCTATCTGAAGTTCATAATTAGTATCCTTTAAGTCTTTTCACGATAGCTTTAAGATCTTGTTTTCACCCTACATATAAAAAATATATTTGATATATTTTAAAATTTTGCTTAATATATAAAAACCTAACACTTTCTAAGCATTCAATATGCATATCTTAAAATTCTGATACAGGTTATACATAGATCATCCATCACTAAAACAGTTATTAGTTTGCTTATTTAGCTTTTATTGACTAAACACACCAATAGTATTTTTTAATCTTACTACCAACAAAACGTTATCGACATCTTATTAACGCGAAACCACACTCGAACAGTACCAAACATTTCCGGTTCAGCAGGATTTTTTAACATAGAAAATCACAGTGTTCCTGCGAATCTTTCTCATTTAGATAGGTTTCTATTTTTGGCAATCCACTTGTAAATGTGATGTTGAATTACCCAATTACCACCCACTTATTTTGTAATTCTAAGCTACAAACTATCCCTACATCACATTTACAAGATTTCACTTACAAGTGTAACTTATAAGAGAAAACCTGACGTTTTCCACCTTCTAACTTAAAGACAGCACGGATGAGGTTTCTATTTTATTACAATTCCATTTTGGACAGGTTTTGGTGTATTTTCATCCACATCGCATTTCATTACTCCTTACCCTCTGTATCTTTACATCCAATCATACGGAATTTTATTAATTTTTTCACAAACATTTTGATAGTTTTGTTATTACCAGAATATATTAACTGGTAAACACTAAAAATTTTTGATTGATTAAATTAATTATATCAATCAATTCACTAATACATAACTTATTCAATGTACTTATCAAGTATTTAATTCCTGATCGAGATAAAGATGTATAAGATGAAGAAGAGATTTATCCTGTGATAACTGACATCGGATGCTGCAACTACGGACAATCCAGCAGAGCTAAGTTGTGTGATTATTTCTATCGATTATCGATTCTAAACTCCCCTTGTCAATATAAATGGAAATAAATTAGCAAATTTTAAATTTTAACCTAGAAAACATAAACAATTAGACCCTTTGACGGTGGGCGTATATCACATTACCTTTGGACATTAATTATACTTCAAAAATATCCAACATACAAGTAATATAACAAATAAACGAAACATTAATCGTAATAATACAAAAATGAGTAATTTTCGAGTATTTTACCTTAGAATAATCGACCCCAACGCCGACGATGGGAAGTCCGTCAGCATCCATCTTGTCTAACCCTAATCTCGTTCAATACGTCAAAATAGCCAGACGACAACTTAATTAAATAAATTACCGAAAATATAAATATACTAAAATTATTTAATTAAATTTTAATACACGAATTAATTATTAAATTTTTAATACTTATATAAAAAAATTAAAAAAAAAGAAGCTATTCTACCAGTGCGGGATTGTTACTAGCCATTAATGGCGGATAGATGGAGGTTTTTCGTCTTTTTAAGACTTTGTTGAAGTGCTTGGCTTTGATAATTGTATTAAGTTTCGGACTGGAGTGAGTGTTTGTTTTTTTTAAATACGTACAAAGCTGACAGTTAATAAAAAGTCGAACCGGTTAATTCGATTTATGTTAACTGACGTAGCGAGTCAATACATTAGAAAAAGTGATATAACTTGTTGTTCGCGTAATTTAACAAAAATGGACTCGTCTCCTTCTCTAGAAACTGTTTGTCAAGCTATTTACGCTCTTTACCATAATCCAGATACTTCGGGTAAAGAAAAAGCTTCAGTTTGGCTTGGAGAATTGCAACGTTCGGTGAGTTCACGTTTTTTCATTCGTTACGGCTTAAACACTATTTAATACTTGATAAAGAATTGTAAGAAAGAAAGGAGAATTTTAATGTTAAAATACACGCAAATACACGTTAAAATATTTTAAATGTACTGTAATATAATAGAATCGAATACAAGGCGATTTATAAAGGAGTTACATTGTGATATGGTTATATTGTTCTTGACACATTGAGCTTATTTATTACCTATTTTGCTGCTGTTAACTTTGTTTCTATACCGTTTCTATGCTTACAGTTTAAGTGATTTTTAAAAATCATGTAATTAATTTAAAAACTTACTTTATATTTGTATGAAATTTGTTATTGCCACTAATGTGTGTTTCAATATGTAACCAGATGGTCTTATAAATATTTGGTGATATGAAATCTAAAAAATATGTTTCATTCAAATTGATAAGTTGATAATTGTCAATATCACATTATTAATGTAGATGTTTTTTTAAATAATGAAAAAATTTTAAATTTTTATATAGGTCTCTGCGTATATAGTAAGCATGAAAATAATGAGATTGAATTAAGATTAAAAATTCCTAAAGTTATATTGCATTTTAAAAGTGCCAGAGAAGCAGTGAAGTGTGTGATCTTCATATTTACACCACCCAAACCAGTCAGCCTTGAGTTGCTTTTAGGATGGCAAATATATTTTGTGTGTTATGTATAATATTGCTACCAGAAATAAAAGAATGATGCTATAATTTAATATCAAAAATTGAAAATGACTATTAAAAAACCCAGTGTATTACAAAAAGCTAGGAAACAGAATGATTTTGAGTCTCAAACATAAAATGTTTCTTTGATGATCAACATATTAATAAGAATAAAGATAATCAATAAATGCACTAAATACTGGAGATAATATTCAAAATACTTAAACAACCAAAAATCCATCTCGTAAAATGACAGCGGAGAAAACAAATATTTTTAATTGTTTTAGCAGTTGTACTCGAGTTAAAGAACTTATTTGGAAATGTATAACAGAATAGAATGTGTGATGAAATGTAGTAATTTAAAATATAAAACATGATTGATTGGCTGTCAGATGTCACATGTTTATATTGGGATGTAAAAGTTAAATAATAAAAAAACAATCTACAGTTCTAAATTGATTAGAGGGAGTTTTTGTTTATTAATAAATATTTGCAGATTGCTAGCAATTGATTTAAATGCAAATACAGGATCAGTAAGATAAATCACATACATCATCTTATTTTGCCAAGGAAAATGTTTAATAATCATGAATGTTTTTGGCTTGCTGTACAAGCCATTCTCAAGCATTATATTACATTCTATCATTAGAATTTAATATTCTAACAGAATTTAGAATAAAATAAATTTAAATATGAATAAAAGAACACAAACAATTTTTTAAAAGATGAATGTTAGACAAAATCAAATCAATTAATAATAAAAGTTGAAACATAAAATATAATTGTGTTAATATATAATGTGAAGCCAAAAATGAAAATGTAATATTGTTTCCTTTGACCAAAGGGCAATCCATAAATTGGTATGTTTTAGTTTTTTCTCCATGATGTATTTCCATGATGATGGCAATCCTTTAGCATCCCTAAGTGCAAAGAAATCTGAAGAAGTATAGCAAAAAAATGCATTGAATCTTTTTCAAAAAAGTGAAAAAAGCATGGTAAAAAATCACACTGTTTATTCTCTGAAACCAGGTAGAGGTCTCAGATGAAGTGAAGCAGTTCTTGAAAAAAAATCCAAACTTCATTCTGAAGAATAGAAATTTGAGGCAAATCATGATCACTGAACTTGAAAGAGGAATTACAGGGCTCAGTGAATTAGAAAAGGACTATTTTAGATAAAATGTGGTCTTCAAAGACCAGATGCACAGTAAAGAAAAAAGCTTTGATATGAGAAAAATAAGATGTGCAAAACAGTGGTTAAAGTGACCTGGTTTTAATAAGAGCTGACAAAAGCAAACACCTTGTTATCATGAACAAACAAGTGTATAATAAAAAATTAGAGGTACATAAAAATTGAATGTGACCAGATCATCGAAAAAATTGTTACAAAAATAGACAATGGTCAAAAAATTGAAAGAAACACGTCTTACTTCCATATTAATTTCCTAAAAAGTTCTCATAATCCCAACTTGCAGATGCCAAGACTGTTTGCTTTTGCAAAAGCACATAAAAATAACAGAGAAATCAAGCCAGTAGTTGAACAGTGTAGAGGACCAATGTACATTTTGGAAAAACAACTACGGTACATAATTTCTTATCAAACCAACTGGAAAACAGCAATTTAGTAGCACAAGACCCACATAAAGTTGTAAAGGAAGTATACAATCTAACAATAACGGATCAAGGGGTTGGAACAGTAATGGACTTCAAGAGCTTATATCCATCCATCAAGATAGAATTGTGCTTTGAAATGCTAATGGAATTCATGTTTTTATTGAAACCTGAAGCAGCTGCTCATCTAAATGAATTAAGAAAACTGGTGAATCTGGTTTGTTACCAGTTATTCTTTAGCTTCAACAGTCTGGTGTACAGACAGAAAAGCAGTCCCCATGAAGAGCTTGGTTTCAGGTGTTCTGTGTAAATTGGTCTTATGTAAGTTTGAGAAAAATATTCTTACTTCCTTCATGAGTGATATCATTTTATACAAAAGACATGTTGATGGTGATTTTTATAATTTGGAGAAGTAAACAGCAGGATAAAACAATTTTTGAACACTGTTAACATTAATGATGGTTTGAGCCTCAAATTGGAGCAATAAAATACTCTTCTTGAACATTCATATCACATTTAAGAACAGAAGTTTACAAAAAGTTTACATTAAACCAATACATGACCCACATATATATATATATATAATCTGCACACATGAAGTTTTGCACTATATATATATTGCAAAACTTCATGTGTGCAGATCAATGGCACATGACGGGATATATATATATATCCCGTCATGTGCCATTGATCTGTACACATATGAAGTTTTGACCATTTGATTACTGATCAGAAGAGCTTTTTAATATTCTTCTAGCATTAGTGACAGAATGAAAGAGCTGAACAGAATTAAAAATGTTGCTGTATCTTGAACCATAAATTTGTGCACAGAAAATTTATGTGAAGTTTGTTTTATGAGTTTTGTATTATAAAAAGAAATTTTAAAAAGGTTGATGTCTGTAAAAGTTGTTTGATAATGAATATTTCCTAAATATAATTACTACTGGAAATGAACATTACTGCTTTCTATAATACTAGTAGCCTGGGACGCCCCCTAGTGGGCGTTATTTACATATTTCCATGAGGCACGGTTCCTTTGACTTTTTTGTTAAGATATAAGCCCCTGAAATAATAAATTCCTATTACAAATATACTGAATTATTTATATTGTTATATTGACCAAATAATAATTTATGNCCTTCCTTAATTCGCTATCCTTATGGACTTCTTAAATAAGAATTAAAATTGTTAATTTGAATGTTTGAAATATGACACACGATAGGGGCGCCTCTAGTGTCTGTTATCAAACGGTTACGGGACAGACGGACACCCATTGAATGGGTTATGTATATAGATGCTTCTTGTTTAGCCTTGGCATATACTTATAAGCACTATATTGGCCTTCTTTATTCCTAGACTTATTACACTGTCACTGGACACAAGATCAGCCTTAGAAAATCAATTTATTTTCCCAAAAAAGTATGCATTTGAGACTTTAAGTACCTTGCAGGGTTTTTTTTATAATTTCAATGTATTGATATGTTCTTTAAAGTAATATAATCATACACTTCTTTAAAATGCACAACAAAATCTCTACAATTGGTAAATCATCATTGTTTACAGAACCAAGCTTTAGGTGTTTGATTAATTGTATTGATTTGATATTTAGAGCAGTATAATTAAAACAAACAGTACATAATATTAAAAGCTGGTCAACTGTTATACGTAATAAAAGACACTATTAAAATCATAAAATAATAAAATGATTCACAGTACATTTAGCAATTACCACCATTTTTCCCTTTATTTATATATCTCCTGCACCTCCTTTTGTCAAATATGCATACCATGATTCATGCAATTTTTAGCTAGAATTATTATTCGTGATTTTTTTCTTAGTATGGGCATTTAGAAAAAATAAAACAATTTTCTTTTATATGTATTTGATTCTTTTTTAAGTATTTTAAATGTGCCCTTTATTATTTGACAACCTTATTTGTTACAGTGGATTGCTGCAGCTGAATTATTATTATTGTGCTTAATGGCAGATATATGTTCTTTGAAACAAACCTTTAATTCTCTACCAGTTTCCCCTATGTGAAATCTAAGTATGGTACAACTGCCTAGATTGTGATGACAAGTACCTGAGATGTGCATTTATTTTTCTATTTATTATTTTGTTTGGGTACCAAAATTATACCATATTTATTTTTTAATCTTTCAAAAATATTCATTTCATAACTGATTTTAAAAAAATTATAAGATTGTTGTCAATTAGTTGTTTGGATTATTAATAGAAAAGAAAACAAACAATTCCTGATCATGCACTTACTATAACCATTCATCAAGTATATTTTTATGATATCTTGAATTTCTGTGGATTTATCTATTTCATTTGTGGTTCTTTGTGTAATTTTATCTATAACATAAAATTAGCATAATAACACAAAAATAATCTAATAGATAAAATTACACAAAGAACCACAGGTGAAATAGATAAATCCAGGGGAGGGAGAGTGTATAAACAAAGAGAAAAAAATGGTGGTAATTGCTAAATGTATTGTGAATCATTTTATTATTTTATTACATATAACAGGACTGGCTGATAATGTTTTAATAAAACTGCTCTAAATATCAAATCAACACGATTAATCAAACACCTAATACTTGGTTCTGTAAACAATGATTTACCAATTGTAGAGATCTTGTGCATTTTTGCATTTTAAAGAAGTATATGATTGTAGTACTTTAAAGAACATATCAATACA